AAACGTTAGGTGAAACATCGAACTTCAATCTAGTTTGATCCAATAAAAGAAAAAAAAACATTTTTTACGGCTTCTGAAGGTGGAAAGTAACCTTAAATAACAAAGGCCGTGAAATCCAACTGGCGATATATATATATATATTTTTTAATCCTCCCACTCCCAAAATTCTCCTTACTGTCTTACCATACAATTCTTATTATGTTACTTTCGAGAATTTGGTACTGGATCAACTAATAATCTCGTGGATATTTTTCTTTAGTCTCATCACCAGTCTGCTACATATTGTGTAAACATCCAAAGGAGAAATTCTGTCTTGGTTACTCATGGACATGATGGAAGTGAAAGGTCGAAGACGACAAATTGTGGAGACATTTCTCATATCGAAATATGTGATAGAATTTTCATGTAATAATTGACGTCAGGTTCAAGCAGAATTTTCCCTTGATCATTTCAAGTTATCGACCATTCAAGCACGGGGGCACAACTAGGGCTCTTTTAAAAAAAGGGGGAGGTGGTCGCAGAGGGAGGATCACAGAATTTCCGCGCGCCTTATGCGAATTAGTTTCCCTTGCAGCCCTTTCTGGCCTCGTCACGCAAGCGACGTGGGGGAGTCTTCGCTTGCGTGACGACGCCGGAAAGGGCTGCAAGGGATCAGACTTTATGCGAATTCTCCTATTCTGTCGCTCTTCCTTATATGTCAGCGGGCTCGAATTGACGCAACATGAAAGACCAGCAATTAAATTGAATATCTAGTACTGGAAAATATCTATATCATGTAAATTCTTCGGATTCCCGCATTTCCTTGAACTTGAATAATTTGTTTGTTAATGACTTAAAGAAAAAAGTTATTTTACGCCGGAAGTCATCCTCCCTTCTCCCACCCCCATTCCAAACACTCCCTTTCCACCCACAGCCTGCGGGTTTTGGCACCCCTGAGAGACCAGTGGTATTTTCAGATATTTTTAAGACCGTTGCCCTTCGCACTACCTACATGTACGGGTGGGTGATGATATCCAAGGCTGCTTATGTATGATTCCAACATCATATCTGATAGTGTCACGCATTCGAAATCTAAAATCAAACCTATTGAATGCCTGACACCAAGAAAGTGACCTATCATAGAATATTGACAAATAAACAGTTTTGTCTAGGTTTCAGGCCTGTGGGGTTTTCCGCGGATGAGTTATTCGCCAGATTCTCTGACATCAATTTATAGTGCTCATCACGAGGACACTGTTGGTGGAACTTGGTGCCCATCATGGCGGCCATGAAGTAAAGCAAATGTCTGTTGTCTTGTTCGTCACTAAAAGAAACTAAAGTAATTATTAGTTATCCCCTGTGAACTTCGTAACATTCATCTTAACTCATTTTCTAATGTTTCTAATGCTTAGGGAACAACAGAAATTTCATGCGTTAAAGTTATATTTCACATACGTGTCTGCTTTCCGGGCCGCTACTTCCATGCGCATGCGCAGGGAAGAAAAACTACGAAATTAACGATGACTCTATTTTCAAAATGCAGATCCTAATTACGCTGAAACCTTTCCAAAAGATATTTAGGAGTTCTTTCGTCTTTCGGAGGTAAAACTGTAAAAGCCTTTGTTATTTCGAATTTTGGATTCCTACGATATCGTGCGAAAACCAAGGTGGTCTAATGGATTTCTCATCAACATGGATGATCCTTACTTCCGCCATACATTAAGATTTTATCGGTGTGATTCTTGAAAATGTCAATTTGCAAGAAGAATATTTATATTTTCCATCTGACTTGTGGACGAAGATCGTATAATCAGCCCTGATCAGGGCTGTCAACTGTCGTTGCTAGGTAACGGCTCCATCGCAAAAACAAAACAAAAAACAAAAAAAAGCTGCATGCATCATGCCGGCGAGAGATTATTTTTATTTGCACTTTAAGCGAGGGTTCTGGGAACGAGAATCTTGTTTAAACTGTCAGGTTTCTCGAAAACGACAAGCAAGATCTGCACCTGCGACCGATATAACCGACGTGAGACCTCGACAAACTAAGAAAAAAAACGAAAATCTCGTAGGGTTTCTCAAAACTCCACGACCTAAGACCGATAGGACCCTATACGTGAGACTTCGAAAAACTAAGATCTCAAAAACTTGGCGCAGTGATGATTCGGACGATGGATCTCGAACTGGAAGGTCAGCTCTCCTGACGAGAACCACCTCGTTATCGAGGCCATGGGAACGAGTTTCAAGACAACAAAAGCTTCTAACTGTTCTCAGGCCATCGCGGCTTTTAAGATGGCGGTTGAGAAGCGGTTCATGATGTTGAACGATCCGTACATTGTTTTCATGCATCTTTTTCTGGATTATCCTTTATTGTAGAGGTTAGTATGCAATTTTTATGTATATAAGAAATAATAGATAATATAACCATAGGAAATGGGAATCAATCCCTTGAAATAAAGGTCGCTGGGAACGCCAACATTATAAAGCAACCGAAGACGCATATTGGGCCATTCCATTTAAAATCCGCACCCCCCCCTGTTGAAGGCTTTCCTGTAACACCCCTCTGGAAAAGAAATTTTTTAACCCCCTTCAGAATTGCCTGAAATTACCCCCTTCAGAATTTTATGTAGCTATCAAGCAAACCAATGGAACCCCCTTCAGAAACTACTCGTGAGAATTTCT